CCCCGTAATAATTACCTATACAGAGTGTATATATATATATACACCTGTACGAAATTATATTTTAACTTGAACAACGGTAATAACTTTTTACACAGAATCTCGTACATTAATACCCGAGGAAACAAAATCTTCGTGTTATTATTTCTAGTATTTTACGCCATTCGCCATGGTGACATCCTTAACCCACGCCTACCATGTACGTCCGATATAGTATTTCTGCGTGGGCGCCTCCTCAGCAATTTCACTTTTGACTCGATAGATCATTGAACGGCACTGACGTCACTGGTCTCCATTCTTAAGCCAGTCAGCCAGCTCGTCTACCGTACGTGTTCCCTATATAGGCATTTTTCAAAGAGGGTGAACTGAAGTCCCTCGAACGTCCCCCCCTCCTCTTCCCTCCGTCCTCCATCTTTACCCTCTACATATATCAGGAGTCTCAAGGAAGACATTGTGGAGTCTCAATGTCTCTAAGCCTATAGGCTAGACCAGGGATAGAGGAAGGTCCCGTAAGAGGCAGAAGGTCGTACGTATATACACAGGAGAGCGAGGGAGACGGGATATGGAGGGTCTGCGAGCGAGCGAGCGAGTCCGAGATACGATGGCGACGGTAAGCTTTGAGGAGGTTCGCTTAGCACATTCCAGCGGTGCGACGGGAGATCATCCAGCCGGAATCCTGCATCCACGGAAGCAGGTCGGCTAACTATGCGCTTAGGTGCCAACCGAGCCGACGACCATAGCGGTGGTTCGCATACCCGATGCTGGACAGAGGTTCTCATACGTTCTGGATATATATATATATATATATATATATTGCGTCATAAGGATACCTTTAAGAGGATGAATTTCCTCCTGGGATACTGTCGGAGACACTTCAAGTACATTGCCATGGCTTTTCCGAATATAAGAGGCGTTCGAAGATGTTCAATCGTCATGTAAAATAAAAGCACAAATCTTTACTCTCGCTCGGGTCACGTCATTAGAAAGTTTTGCGTTCGTAAATCTATTAGATTCTGGTGTCTCTCGTACGAAAGATTTAGCCTATCGAGGGTAGTACATAAGGGATGACGTGGTATACGCTTCGTACGTATAGCATGTATACATATTTGGAAAGGAGTCCTGAGCATTGGTACAGCGAGAGTTAGATTTGGTAGAAGAGTGAGAGAGAGAGAGAGAGAGAGAGAGAGAGAGAGAGAGAGAGAGAGACGAGTGTCTTTGGTAGAGAGCAGAGCTTCCTCTCAGGGAAACTTTCCTCGTTTCCGGAGGTAGGAAGCCGATTGGCTATAGTCTAGAGTAGTACTGGATGCGGGAATGTCGGCAGGACAGTTTTGTCTCGTATATATGCTAAGCGCTTTCCGGTATACATTATTGTCTCTGAGATTTGGACGGACGACGGCTACACGGCGTGCATCGAGGATTAATTTTATTGTCAGGTTCGTTCTCTCCCTGTATGCCAGAGTTTTTTTTTTCCCCTGCACGAGAATCCCTCCGTGCCGTGGGATAACCGGTACGCGTTATTCAGCGTTGGGATAAAGTAGGCAGTACTGAACTTTTTTTTTTTATACTTTATACTCGAACACGGATTTGCATCTCACAAGGGATTCGCTAAGTCGAATATGATGACTCGAGCGAGGATCGACGTCTAGGAAATCAGAATAGCATCCGCGAATAATTAAAGACGACCCAGTTGCTCGATTGCGATTTTTCTCCTAGTACCGAATAATAAAGACGTTACCGATTGCGGTACTTTATTAAGTGCTAACGTAACCTACATAGGGAACCTCAGGTTATTCAGGGCAGCGGACGACGGTAATATCGAGCACCTCCTGATCCGAATGATTTAAGGAACGTTCTGTAGCTGTCGGACGTTTTGCCATTTCTGATGACAGGTTGGGTTAGGTTGGATCGTAACCAGGGTGTTACACGCGCGGATGGCCCAGAGAGAATGTCGTTCGGCTTACTGTAGGGTTTCCATACTTTCCCGGTAATTATTCGGAATTACGAGCGTCCGCGCTTCGGAACCACCGTCGGCCATTGTTCCGATTTCGTCCCACGTAATTTGCTCGCGAAAGGATTAAGCCGAGACACAAGGCTCTTACACGCGGCGGGCGGACTGTCTGGTCGTGCCAAAACTTTCCGTTGACCGTTGCTCGGTCGCAGTGACTCAGAGAAACGATCAGGAGAGACAGGCTCTTTCAGGCTGACCAGGAGCGGATGCAGCGTGCCCCGGGGCCCGGGTCTCCCGGAGGAAGGAGGTTTCCCTTGCTTTCGACGCTTCGCTCCCCGCCTTGTCGCCTGATCTTTTTCCCCCCTGTCTCTCTCTCTGTTCCTCGTCTTTCAGTCACTCGTTCACTCACTTGCTCACTGTCAACACAGAGTAGGTATATATATCCTCGAGGGGAAGTATGCCTAACCGAAATCTGCGGTAACGCGACTGTAGCTTTATATACCGGAAGTGCCGTTACGATTCGAAGCCACTTTCTTCTCGAATCTTCCAGAATACCCATGGAATCTTAATTTGCCAAAGAAATAATTCCCGTTCCTATCGCTCCATCCTTCCCTCCGCAGATACCATTTGCGACGTTCGACCTGCCAATGCAACGTCATCCGGATGGAGTTGGATACGTGCGAAGCCCCGAAGAAGTGGAACGCAGACGTTCCGGAAGGTCGTGGAGCGGCTGAGCTCGTGTTTCGCGTGTCGCTTCATTCATGACTCGCTCCGAGTCCTGATCACGCTCCTCCCATCTCTCCTCGCTCGTTCCCCACCTAGTTTCTTCTTCTCTTTCTCTCTCTCTCTCTCCCTCCCTCCCTTCCCACTAGTCACCGACTCGCTCCCACCGTAGCCCTCCCTCTCTCTCTCTCTCATTCGCCACTTCACCTAAGCGGAGATTCATAACGGCCTCGTCCGATGACGTGGCATTCCGTCATCTCGTCTGACAGACTCTGCAAAAATAGCTGGCAGTGCGTCCATCGGACACTGCCCACGCTCTTTCTCTCCTGGCGATCCGAGAGCGGCAGAGGAAAAAGGAAAGAAATTACCAGCTATCGCTACGAAGTCAGGAACGTGCCGTGCCGACCACTCGCTTTATACTCCTTGGTCGAATATTAGGCAGACGTCGAATATGATCGCCATTCATTACGATATACGTCTAATCTATCTTCTGTGGCTTCTTTACTCTCTTCTGTTTTCATAGCTCTCTCTCTCTCTCTCTCTCTCTCTCATTCACCGTCTCGACGGTACGCCTCCTCTCGCTCTCTCGCGCCTCTACGGGTTAGTCTCAATGGCCCTGGGCTGCTTTTGGCGAGGCTAGCGGCGAACGCACCATATGGGGCCGGTCTCATGCACTCGCGCATAGCAACAGAAACGAGAGAAACAGAGACTAGCGCGGCTCGGCGTTGTGCAGAC